GAGCACATGGAGAGAGGGGGGAAGGGAAGCAGAGAAAGCAAGAGAACAAGAGAGGAGCAAGAGCTTCAAAATTCTCCAATTGTATCATTAAGTAATTTATCCCTGTTTGCTCTTTCTGATATATTTTTTTGTTTGTTTTACTCGAAATTTATTACATCAAGTATAGAGACAAGCTAGAGTCTAGGAGACAAGTTGTGTTTTCTGTGGAGGGTTAGAGCTGAAAAAGTGCCTCTACCACAGCCCACACAGAGGATGGTGACTGAGTCTAGGTACCAAGCACCAAACTTTTTACACTGCTGGACTTCGGTTCTGCTTTGATCTGCCTTTGACTGTGCCCTGGCTCTTCGCTCTCTCTCTTTGTTTTAAACATTTATTTATTTTATGTATATAAGTACACTGTAGCTATCTTCAGATACATCAGAAGAGGGCTTCAGATCCCATTGCAGATGGTTGTGAGCCGCCATGTGGTTGCTGGGAATTGAAGTAAACAGAAGCAAACAGTTGAGTGCTTTGCGTGTTTAGAGAAGTTTGGATGTTTTAAACGAACTGGAATTTTAAGGTGTGTGAATTTATTTTATTTTTATTTTTTTTTTAAATCTTATTTTATTTATTATATGTAAGTATACTGTAGCTGTCTTCAGACACCCCACAAGAGGGCATCAGATATCATTACAGATGGTTGTGAGCCACCATGTGGTTGCTGGGATTTGAACTCATGACCTCTGGAAGAGCAGTCAGTGCTCTTAACCACTGAGCCATCTCACCAGCCCGGTGTGTGAATTTATAAAGACTCCAGAACTTTAAAAATTCAGAATGTTTTATATAGTCATATTAATAGAGCATCTTGGTAACAGGAAAGGAAAGGTTTTAGTTTAACAGTGATATGTTTATGTGCCAGGTTGATGAGCGGTAAATTGTCGTGCCTAGCACCATGTCATCAAGACACAGCCAGAAGTCATTTTAGAAGAGGGAACCTCAATTGAAAAAAATTCTGCAACAAGATTGGTCTGCGACCAAGACTGCAGTGCATTTTCTGGACTGATAATCGATAGACAGCCCATTACTGTGGGTGGGGACACTCCTGGGGCTGGTGGTCTTGGGTGGTAGAAGAAGGCAGGCTGAGCAAGCCAGGAACCAGAATTCCTCCATAGCATCTGTCTTGCCTCCAGGTTCCTTCTTCTTGCCCTGGCTACCCTTCATGATGGATTGCCATCAGGACATGTAAGGTGAAATTAACCCTTTCTTCTCCAAGTTGCTTTTGGTCATGGTGTTTCATCAGAGCAGTAGAAACCCTAACTAAGTCAAGCACTCACTAGGCTACCCTGGCTCACAGATTATACGACCAAGGCTAGGTCTAAGGATTGAGGATGGCACAGGCAGGAGAAGTTCCAGGGATTCACCAGGCTTCAAAGGTCTGAAAATATGTGCTCCAGACTAGACCTGAAACTGAATCTATGTTCCCAAGTCATCGTCACTCACATGGTATCTTCTCTGTGAAGTTAGAGATTTGTTTTTCTTATTTCTTTTGCTTTAAAGATTTATTTATTTATTTTATGCATATGAGTATATAATAACTGTCTTCAAATACACCAGAAGAGGGCATCAGATCCCATTACAGATGGCTGTGAGCTATCATGTGGTTGCTGGGAATTGAACTCAAGACCTCTGGAAGAGCAGTTGGTACTCTTAACTGCTGAGCTGTTTTTTCCAGCCCTAGAGATTTGTTTTTCATAGACAAGAGGAGTACATAAAGCAACTCATGTTTTTCTACTTAAGTTTTAAAATATTCTTATTCTTTGAAAATTTCATAGATTTATACAATGTATTTTATCTATCCACCCCAGTTCACCCTTTCACTCCATCACAACATCCTATCCTTCCTCTTTTTTAAAAAACAACCCACTGAACCCTATATGTGCATTGAGGTGTGGGTATCCACTGAAGGTTGGGGTAACCTAGCCCTGGACCTATCCCAGAAGAAAACTGGCTTTCTAAATTTGTTTATTCATTAAACCTTGATGTAACTTATAGCTGTTTTGTAATATAACTAAAAAAAAAAAATCACAGAAGTATCAGGCCTGTGCTCCTTGCAAGGAACTTGCCACAGACTCACCATTTCCAGGTTCCAGAATACCCAGTGTCCTCAATATAGTCCTCAAGGCAGGAGCATGTCACTGGGAAACAGACACGGCATTAGTGCCTCTTGATCAAGATGATCCTGGTGACAGATCACATAATGGTTTGTTCAGATCAAAGGCTGTGGTGAAGGTAGTGAACTGTCTCTACAGCTGATTAGATAGTCTTCCCCGCACTACTGGACTGGACAAGGTTTAGTTCTCACCTCCTCAGACCTTGAGCAACAGGGGTGAATGACACCAGAAAGACAAGTTCTTGCCTTCAGGCATTTTAAGGCAGGGCGTGGGATGAGAGCCTGCAGCTATCATCAAGGCCCAGTTAGAGGCTGGTTCAGATTATTATCCTTTCTCATGTCTCCCAGGGCTGAAACCACATACTCGTGCGCACCACTGCACCCCCTTGAACTTGAAATCGGACAAACTTCTGTTGTCATCCTGAGATATTAAGGCATGCTAACATTTAATATTTTTATAACCTTTAGAAAAAATCGTCTGTTCCTTTCGATGGAAATTCTTCCCTGCCATAGTTAAGTGAAGGTTGTGATTTTAAAATCAGGTTTTTTTGTTTGATTGTACAATTACCTCTTCTAGCTTCATCACTTAGAAAAGAGTTTGAGATTCAAGAAAGTATGCACTTCCATAACTTGGAAACACTAGTGAGGTCTGCAGGCAAGAAATTCAGACTCCAAGTTGGGAATATTTCATGAAACACAGGCTCGTTACATCTTTGAACTTAACTTATCCTAGAGCTTGATTCCTGTTGTTAATTCCTCTTCTTCCTAAATCCATACCCATTGACTGTGGTCTTGATACCAATGAGACAGTTACAAGAGATCAGTCAGAAAGAACCGTGGGGTGAAGGCAGGGACCAGTCATCCAGGGCTGGCTCAAGCTCTTTCTTCACGTTAAGCACACTGTCTCTCAGTATGTTTTCAGGCAGGTTTATTTAACATATATTATTAAGATTTGCTTGCTTAATTTTGCCAAAACTTCCATGGCTTTCCTAGAAATATTTAAAAACCATAGTCATATAAATTATATTCGCTCAGTATTGTCCTTGCCCTCTTCTTTAAGGACTAGATTTTTCCAATAAAGTTACAGACTTTTAGATCATAATATTCTCAAGTTAAGCATGATTTAGGGTCAATTTGACCCTGTTCATATAAGATCAAGTATTATCATCTGTAGAATATTTAAAAATGTTATTACACATATACTTTCTCCTCTTAAAAACATGTTATTCATTCATAATGCCCAAAGCATAATTCATAATTTTGGTATTGTTCTCTAAGAAAAGTCCAGCATTACACATGTTATTAAAGAATAGTCTTCTGAGTTGTATAAGTAAAATTGACCCAGCCTTAAATGAGCTGAGATTAGGAAGGAAGTGACAGCAACTGCTATTGGACTCCTCTGTTCACCATCTTTAGTGTTATTCAGTGATGTGAGAACTTTCTCTGTGCTGGATTCTCTTTTGATGGTTTTTCTTTGAGACAGGTTTTCACTTTGTAGTCCCACCTGGCCTGGAACTCAGAGATCCTCTTGCCGTTGCCTCCGAATGCAGGGATTCCAGGATGCCGCCATGCTTCATCTGCACTGGCTTCTTTGAAGTAAGCTCAATGAAACCACTGACACTGATATGGATAACCTAAACCCATGAAACCCCAGTCAGTGATATTAGTGACAGAAGCATTTTGTCTTTGTGTGTGTGTTCATGTGTGTGCAATGTGTGTACTCAGGTATATGGACATTTATGAGGGCCATGGGGGCCAGAGGTCGACTCTAGGTGTTTGCCAATATTGCTCTCCAATGTGTATTTTGAAGCACAGTCTCTTACCGGACTTGGGGCTCACTGATTTGTCTACCTTGGTTGTCCAATAAGCTGCAGGGATTCTCTCAGGACTGCTTTTCCCATTTGTGGGGTTATTGATGTGCTGGTGTTCCTGTCTACTGCATGGGTGCTAGGGATCTGAAATCAGATTTTCATGTTTCTCTTGCAGGCATTTTACTGACTGAGCCATCTTCCCAGTCACCACTACAATCATTTATACAGCTTAGGTTCTCTTTCTTCCAGCTCCTCTACCACCAAAGGTTGTTTTTATCTTGCCCAGGATGATAGCTGATTCTTGGATTCAAGAGAAATATAAGCCACATGTTGATATTAAACTTGAATTTGAATACAAATAAAACATTTATTTGTGATGTCCACAGGAATAGATAAAGGTAATATGTTTATTGTTGATTAGATTAAAAGTGTGGCATGCCATAAAATTAGTTATCATCCATCATGAGCAATGATGTAACTGCTACAACACTGATGTCACCTAAGACACCTCTGCCCACTAAATAATGTCAACCATTAAGTCCACCAGCATCCACTTCTCTTCATAAAAAGTTCGCAAGAGGAATTGCATGTGGAGAGCCAGTAGATTAGTGTTTATGGTGTAGAAGAAGGAAATAGGAAGGTAATGTAGTGACTGCCAATGGTTATAACACACTGCTGGGTTTGGGTGAAGAGCATGATCTGATAGGGACTTTTACGATGAGTACATGTATGTATATACTCATCTAACTGTGCATTCTACAGGTGGACACTCTGGAGTATGTGGATTATCTCGGGACAAGCAAGTTATTATAAAAGTCCATTAGGAATTTTGATCCAACTTCTTCAGCATAATCATAGTATTAATCTACATTTACACAGTAGGGAACCCATTATTGTATTTTCTGTGTCAGTGAAAAAGAAATTTATTTTCCTTAGAGTATCTGAGATTTTACATTCTGATGCTTCCTAGCATACACTTTCAAAAATTAGCAACCAGAACTTCACTACTAATAACGGCCCAGCTTGTGCAGGAACATAGATTCTATACCCCAGACTACAAAACAAGAAAAATAAGAGATGAAGAGGAAGGAGGGAGGGAGAGAAAAAATGATATATTGTGGATTCTGAAACTTATAGGATTGAACAAGAGTAACCATCACAACTGTAGGGCCGTGCAAACATTACAAGAAACAATTCACGCACAAGCAGTGAGCTACAGCACATGTCTTTAGATAGAAGACAGGAAAACCAAGAGCCAGAAAGCAGTTGATAAGAAAGAGCAGAGAACACTATCAAAGAGGATTTCAGGATGGAGAGGGTACAGAAGTGGCCATGCTAATTTAATACAGAAAGTGCTGTTTTTACAGGTAGTTCTCTTAGTGACTCAGGCTGCTAGTCTTGATAGCAAACTAGAGCAGTCTGGGACATCGGTAGATTAGATCTCATGGAGGAGTCTCCCAGTCAAGTCACTTTTTCTTTTATCTGACCCTGGACTGAGGTATTAATGACACCAGGGTATTTCAGAATTTCTGCCAGGGGCACTCATTCTTTATGCAGATCTCTGGCCAGAAAACAGAAGCAGAAAAGACAATATACACACCATGGCCTTTTGGCAGGGGCAGACACAAATGGTCTGCTCCTGTGGAGATACTGAATCCTGAGCCATCCTAGAGGAGTGACTGCACTCAGAGCAGTGGATACTGAATCCTAAGCCATCCTAGAGGAGCCACTGCCCTCAGAGCAGCAGAAACCTAGCTGGTTTGCACTTGTGGAGACATCTTGTCCTGAGCCATCCTAGAGGAACCACTGTACCAAGAACAGAAGGATTTCCAGATCCCAGAGGTGGCCTGAGTCCCAGGTGTTCTTCCACCCAGGAGATTAGGATCATAAGACCACAGAGACATCTGGAATCTGAAGACCTCTGACACAAGCAAGATAACTGGAGATACAGACTCCAGTCTTACACAGTGAGGGCAGGTAACACTAGAGTTAACCAGATGGCGAAAGGCAAGCGCAAGAACATAAGCAACAGAAACCAAAGTTACTTGGCATCATCAGTACCCAGTTCTCTCACCATAGCAAGCCCTGGACACCCCATCACACCGGAAAAGCAGGATTCAGAATTAAAATCACTTCTCATGATGATGATAGAAAATTTTAAGAAGGACATAAGTAATTCCCTTAAAGAAATACAAGAGCGTACAAATAAACAGGTAGAAGCCCTTAAAGAGGAATCACAGAAATCCCTTAAAGAACTGCAAGAAAACAAAAAGAAGGAATTAAACAAAAACATTCAGGATCTGAAAATGGAAATAGAAACAATAAAGAAAGCTCAAAGGGAGACAACCATGGAAATAGAAAACTTAAGAAAGAGATCATGAGTCACAGATGCAAGCATCACCAACCAAATACAAGAGATAGAAGAGAGAATCTCATGTGCAGAAGATACCATGGAAAACATTGACACAGCTGTCAAAGAAAATGCAAAATGCAAAAAACTCCTAACCCAAAACATCCAGGAAATCCAGGACACAATGAGAAGACCAAACCTAAGGATAATAGGTATAGATGAGAGTGAAGATTCCCAACTTAAAGGGTCAGTAAATATCTTCAACAAAATTATTGAGGAAAACTTCCCTAGCCTAAAGAAAGAGATACCCATAAACATACAAAAAGCCTACAGAACATCAAATAGACTAGACCAGAAAAGACATACCTCCTGTCACATAATAATCAAAACATCAAATGCACAAAACAAAGAAAAAATACTAAAAGCAGTAAGGGAAAAAGGTCAAGTAACATATAAAGGCAGACCTATAAGAATTACACCAGACTTCTCACCAGAGACTATAAAAGCCAGAAGAGCCTGGACTGACATCATACAGACCCTAAGAGAACACAATTGCCAGCCCAGACTACTATACCCAACAAAACTCTCAATCACTATAGATGGTGAAACCAAGATATTCCATGACAAAACCAAATTTGCACAATATCTTCTCACAAACCCAGCACTTCAAAGAATAATTGATGGAAAACGCCAACACAAGGAGGGAAACTACAACCTAGAAAAAGCAAGGAAGTAATCTTCCAACAACCCCAAAAGAAGATAGCTATAAAAACATAATTCTACCTCTAATAACGAAAATAACAGGAAGCCACAATCATTTTTCCTTAATATCTCTTAACATCAATGGACTCAATTCCCCAATAAAAAGACACAGACTATCAGACTGGATACACAAACAGGACCCAGAATTTTGCTGCATACAAGAAACGCACCTCGCTGGGCAGTGGTGGCGCACACCTTTAATCCCAGCACTTGGGAGGCAGAGGCAGGCGGATTTCTGAGTTTGAGGCCAGCCTGGTCTACAGAGTGAGTTCCAGGACAGCCAGGGCTACACAGAGAAACCCTGTCTCGAAAAACCAAAAAAAAAAAAAAAAGAAAGAAACGCACCTCAGTGACAAAGACAGACACTACCTCAGAATAAAAGGATAGAAAACAATTTTTCAAGCAAATGGTCCCAAGAAACAAGCTGGAGTAGTCATTCTAATATCAAATAAAATTGACTTTCATCCAAAAGTAATAAAAAAAAGATAAGGAAGGACACTTCATACTCATCAAAGGAAAAATCTACCAAGGTGAACTCTCAATTCTAAACATCTATGCTCCAAATGCAAGGGCACCTACATACATAAAAGAAACTTTACTAAAGCTCAAAACACACATTACACCTCACACAATAATAATGGGGGATTTCAACACCCCACTGTCAGCAATGGACAGATCATGGAAACAGAAACTAAACAGAGACACTTTGAAATTAACAGAAGTTATGAACCAAATGGACTTAACAGACATCTATAGAACATTTCATCCTAAAACAAAAGAATATACCTTTTTCTCAGCACCTCATGGTACCTTCTCCAAAATAGACCATATAATTGGTCACAAAACAGGACTTTACAGATACAAAAAGATTGAAATAATCCCTTGCATCTTATCAGATCACCACGGACTAAGGCTGGTCTTTAATAATGACAAAACAAATGGAAAACCCACATGCACATGGAAACTGAACAACTCTCTACTCAATGATGACTTGGTCAAGGAAGAAATAAAGAAAGAAATTAAAGACTTTTTAAAATTTAATGAAAATGAGGACACATCATACCAAAACTTGTGGGACTCCATGAAGGCAGTGCTAAGAGGAAAACTCATAGCTCTAAGTGCCTACAAAAAGAAACTGGAGAGAGCACACACTAACAACTTGACAGCACAACTAAAAGCTCTAGAACAAAAAGACGCAAATACACCCAAGAGGAGTAGAAGGCAGGAAATAATCAAACTCAGGGCTGAAATCAACCAAATAGAAACAGAAAGAACAATACAAAATATCAACAAAATCAGGAGCTGGTTCTTTGAGAAAATCAACAAGATAGATAAACCCTTAGCCAGATTAACCAGAGGGCACAGAGACAGTATCCAAATTAATAAAATCAGAACTGAAAAGGGAGACATAACAACAGAAACTGAAGAAATTCAAAAAATCATCATATCCTACTACAAAGGCCTATACTCAACAAAACTGGAAAACCTGGATGAAACGGACAACTTCCTAGACAGATACCAGGTACCAAAGTTAAATCAGGAGCAGATAAACCATCTAAACAGTCCCATAACCCCCAAGGAAATAGCAGCAGTCATTAAAAGTCTCCCCACCAAAAAAAGCCCAGGACCAGATGGTTTTAGAATTCTATCAGACCTTCAAGGAAGACCTAATACCAATTCTCTTCAAACTGTTCCACAAAATAGAAACAGA